CTGATTACTTCTTAAAATATTTGAAGCAGTTCCGTAGAAGATGCACTTAAGCGGCAGAAAAGCGGTACCGGCGTAGGCGCCTACAGACCTCTACCACACTATTCAGTACTCATAAATGGCTTAGTTATAGTGCTATAATAAGGTTTTTGTACATTATATTGATTGTATTAACGAACAAATATTAATGCAATCATTTAATTGTCCAAAAATTATTTTTTAAAATTTATTATTTTATTATTTTAAATTTAATTTCCTTTATTCTATACGGAGTTCGTTTAAGAAGACCTCTATTGTAATAATGATAATAAAACTTAATTCAAAAATACTTTGCTGAATATCTTGAATTTTTTATTTAACATTTGCAATTTAACACTTTGTTTTGTATATTTAATGATTCTTAGAGTTAATTTAAATTGTATATACTTCCCCGGAAATGAGTCATATTAATACCTGTTTTATAAACTAAAATAAAATATACCTAATTTGAACTACATATAATAAATAGTTGATGGATTGTTTAGTTAACCTCATACATCACAAATAAAAAAATTTTTATTTCCTTTATTTTGCTCCGGCCCACAGAATATACTGGCTGTTTTGTGCACTTTGAACTTAAGTGGTTGTATCCATGGCAGTTCAGGGACATTAGTGGGTTAGGCACATAACAGCGAACTTCAACCATTTCATATCCCACTCATATCACTTTAGGCGCGTTAGGTATTTGGAATGGAACAATATAGCTATTAGTCCCTATTTCATTACCGTTTTTTTAAATTTTTATGGATAAATGATAATATCTTTTATAGTTGAGCCCATTTCCTTTTTTATTGCTTCAATTTCGAGATATTGAAAGTCGTACACTTTGATTATACCCTTACTATAATTAAGCGTATTATGTGGAGTTATTTCAATTGGAAATTGTCCCCCAAAATTATTACATTTCATTAAGGTTATAGATTGGGTAACTTTATATGTCTCAATCAGTAATGACCCATCTCTTAGTTTTTTGATATTTTTAACTTCACCAATAAGCCCAGTCACGAATTTGTAAGTAAAAAAAGGAGAATCTTTTTTGAAGTCTTCTACATCGCATCTTTTAACGGTTGAGAAGGTGGGGCTCACTTCTTTATGTTCTCCCATTTGAATTTTATCGGGAGGATTTTTAAATCGACCCCGAGGTCGCTTTCTTTTGCTACGGGCTAATTTCTTCTATTTTTCATTATATATAAATCTTAGTCTAAGTATAACAAAAAAAATCTTCTTCTGTATAATTATAATTATCTGATAATATATAATTATCAACTAGACAAAATAAAATTAGAAGAAACACTTCTGTAATCTAATTAAAATGAATAAATGGAAAGAGAAAAAGAAAATAAGAAATAGAAAAATCAGGTAAGCTTATCTGTCTGCGTGCAAGAGTACTGTCCTCTGCGGAATCTAAGCTAACACTGCTTAAAATCCATTTACCTCAGTCCTTGTACCTAGTCCTCCGATCCTACCTCTCTAATCGCTCCTTTAGAGTTCACTGTGGAATAGAATTTTCCAATATCTATCCAGTCAAAGCCGGTGTTCCCCAAGGCAGCGTCTCGGGTCCCGTACTTTACATCCTATTTACTGCTGGCATTCCTATTCATCCCGATACCTTCATTGCAACATTCGCTGATGACATCGCAATCATATCATCCAACTCTAATCCCGAAATAGCACCTCAAATCTGCAAAGGCACTTCTCCTTTATTGAGCACTGGTGTAATAATTGGCGTATTAAAGTGAATGAATCCAAACGCCAACATATTACCTTTATGCTCCGACGCAATTCCTGTCCACCAGTACAATTTAACTCCATCCAGCTTCCTTTCTCGGACACAATTCGATATCTTGGCTTTCTTTTAGACCGAAGACTAACATGGAACCCACATACTAGACTTAAAAAACAAGAACTCAACCAACGATACGCCAATTATACAGACTACTAAACAGAAAATGTAAACTTTCTATTGAAAACAAATTACTTGTCTACAAGACAATCCTGAAACCTATGTGGACATACGGACTTGAACTGTGGTGACAGCAAACTTTTCTAACATCAACCGCATTCAATCCTTTCCATCTAAATTCCTTCGAACAATAGTTTCATTTTATGTAACCAACAAAACCCTACTCCACGACCTTAATATCCTATTTGTCCTAGACCTTCATTCATTCATTTATTACTGGCACAACAGATGCATGTAGCGGTCCTTGGCCTGCTCAATTTCCTTTGCCCAATCATTCCTGTTGGCTGCTCACCTAATGGGTATGCCGTTTTCTCTCAAGCCTTCTTTCACGTTGTCTATCCATCTTTCTTTCAATCTTCCACTAGACCTAACTCCCTCTGGCTTCCCATGATAAAATCTTCTAGCTGCCCTCGCTTCATCCATTCTCAGGATATGTAATAACAATTTCATTCGCTGCACTCGAGCGAATTGGGAGATAGACAGATCAACGTACATTGGTCATACCTCCTTGTTTGTTCTCAATCGGGGAACTCCTTCCTGCAGTTTTTGTCCTATTATCCGTTTTAGTATTTTCCTTTCAAACCGATCGCCCTGCTATGACCGCATCGTCAGCATACGCGAGTAGTTGGGTCATTCTGTGGAATATTGTTCCCGCGTTATTTAATTTTGCCCTTCACATGATGGTCTCTAGGGCAATATTAAAGAAGAGTGGGACTAATGAGTCACCTTGCCTCAGGCCCGAACAAACTGCAAAGAAGTCGCCAATTCTTCTTTTTACCTTAACTCGTACCTTTTTTTTTTTTTTTTTTGGGATCCTTCCCTTCCTCGCCGTTAAGGCTATACGGGATTTTCCCGGGCCAGGGAGTGTGGGCGGGGATTTAAAAGACTCCCCCGGCACCGGGACGCGAACTCGTGACTATTTTTATATCTTTGAATTCATATGTCAGGTTGCCAGGCAACGGCGGTGCAGTGCACACGCTTTAGCCCATTCGGCTACCCCGCCCACAACCTTAACTCTACTGACGGTGCCTTCCATGGTAGCCATTGTTAAACGAATCAGCTTTGCTGGTATGCCCAATTCATAGATTGCCTAACAAAGCTCCTCTCTAATCACCGTGTCGTACGCCGCCTTAAAATCTATGAAGAGCATCCACATGGAGTATTATACTCTTTCATTTTTTCCATGCTCTGTCTAAGGGCAAAAATTTGATCGATCGTTGATCGATTTGTTCTAAAGCCACCCTGGTAGTCTCCAAGCTGTCTCTCCACGTATGGCATAATGCGATTATACAGAGCAATAGAGAATACCTTATAAGCAGAATTAAGTAAGGTGATATCTCTGTAATTTCTTCAGTCACTTACATCTCCCTTTCTCTTATAAATTGGGATAATGAGGGACTCTTTCCATTCTTCCGGTAGTTTTCTATTTCCCAAATATTTGCTACTAATTTGGTAATTGCATGTGAAAGGCGACTCCCACCTTGTTTAAGAAAGTCCTAGACCCTATCTCCGTAAAATTCTCCAAATTTCACAAGAACCTTACCTATCATCCAAATCCCGTTGCACAATTCCTATCCAGCACCACCCATACCTACAATCCTCGAAGGTTGAAGGGGCAGTGGCCCAGAGACCTTTTGTGAATAAGCATATATTGGAGTTTTGGCAATGGCCAAATTCTACACTCAAGCCATGTATGTGTGATTATAGCGCCTCTACTTTTCTTTAAAACCAGTGGTACGGCTGAGTGAGGGGCGCTGGGATCTCCTAGAGTCCTGCCATTCTTTCAACGAGTAGGGAGAAAGGCTTGGCTCGGAGATTTTGAGTGAATGAATTTTTTTTTAGAGGCATGTTTGTATTTGGTTAGTTATTTTCATTAGCTAAGTTTCTTTTGTTTATTTTAGTTTATATACATTTACTTTTATTATTATTATTATTATTATTCTGTATTTTAATTTATTGTGAATGGAGTGAGAATGTGCTCTCTGAACACTATTATAAACGTCCTTAAACGTGACAGATTGTAATATTAAAAAAAAAAACAATTAAAAAAAAATCATGACAAGCCAATAGGCACAATTTTTTAACTATAAGAAACGAAGTAAATCTTGCATATATCTTGAATAATTTAGTTATAAATTATTTGTATTCTACAAACAAAAATTTTAGCCCCCTCCCCTCGGACTTTGTTTACTTACCTTTGCTATCTTAGAAGCACATCTGAAAAATCTTCCACCGACCCTTTTACTTACTTACGAAATTATCAGTACTTGAATACCTTCAGTGCTCGGAACGTGGTTAATAAGAATAAATATTACACTTCTTATAAATTAATTATATTAATTATTTTTCAGTTTGTATAACTTATTACATATTCCATTTATCTATTTTATGTATTATCAATCACTATATTTTCATTATTAACAATTATCTGTCTTATAATATCATATCTCTGATTGTATTCTATTTTTTAGCCCACATGTATGGATTGAATCGGCTGCACAAATAAAAACCTTAAAAATTACTGCGTCCTGACTTTTTATCACTTATGTTATTAACTATTTTTGTAAGTGCCAGCGGTGTTGCGTGTATAATGAGAAAAGTAGTAGCATCAGTGAAGGTTGCAATGAGAGTGCTATTGTCAAGTAAAATGGGAATGGGGAGAATAATGTGAAATGGGGTAGAGGAGAGGTGATTTCAATATACAGAGACGTCGCTGATGGCAGATTAAATACCTGAGCCACATCAGAAATACCGTAAATACATCATTAACATATTGAATTTGCTTTAATGCTGTTGAAATGTTGTTAGTAATCGTCTGATAGCCTGGTTGGTAATAATGCTCAGATGATATTTGTGTATTTTACTGTTATATATTGTAATTTTTAATTATTAAGATTAAATTCCTAAACTTTTAAACCGGTCTCTAAAGCATTACTAAGTAATTTTTAAATATTAGCGATGTTTTACTGGAATATGTGTGTTAGTTTTATGCATAACTTACATTTCGAATTCCTGTTGAAACTGCCTGTGAGTGGTGGTGTGCCAGGTTCTTCTTTTATTTTCCCTTCCATCTGCAACAATAGTGAGGTAGAATAATGAGGAATTAATTAGTAAATACGGTATTTAGTTTTCACATCAGTGGCAAAATATTAAGTTGGCAACAACCAATTGTATTGTGAATACATCTTAAATTAGTACAGTGAAAATGAATGATTATGAAGGAAATGGGGAATTCCCGCAAGGGGTAACTGTTGTATGCAGTTACTTGGAGAGTAGCGCCCCCACGGGTTACGACAGCTTAGTACACCAATCACCTATACTCAACATAAGGTCAGCTACAGAACATACCCTAGGGCTACCTTCCCTAGGAGATTTTTCTTATCAGGAAGGGTATGTTCGGTTACCCTAAGGGGCAGCCCCCGACCGCAATAGGATTGGACAGTCCGAAATCTTGAATATCACAAGTAATGGAAGATATACAGCCGGAGAGCTTTTATGGAATTCAATATGGTGAGGAAATGGAATTTTACGACTGGCAAACTGGAACGTGCGAGGTTTGAGGGGGAAGGAGTATGAGCTACTAGAAGAGAAAAATAAGGCAAAGGTTGATCTGCTAGCAATAACTGAGTTCAAGATAAAAGGAAAAGGCGAAGACAGGATTGGAGATAACATTCTACTGTACTCGGAGACCACTGAAGAAAGAATAGCCAGCAGAGGTGTAGATTTTATGTTTAGGAAAGCCTTAACGAATACAGTGATCAAAGAATGGAAATTCGTAAGTGATAGGCTGATGGTGATTGACATAAAAGATGGAGATGCCTTAAAGACTATTATTATGATCTACGGACCGAGTGTTTAGACCGAGTGCTTTCGAGAAAATCGTAGCACCGAGGATCCTATCTTTACCATGAGACCAGTTTTAGAAAAAGTATTGGAGAAAGAAAAGGAAATGTCAGTGTGCTTTGTTGATTTTACAAAAGCCTTCGATCGAGTAAGAAAGTCTAATATCTTTTAGGAATTGAGAGAAAAAGGGATTGATCAAGGTCATGGCCTGGGGGTTGAGAGTCTCTACAAGAAACATAGTAAGATTTGCCAACTGCACTTCACATGAAATCAAAACAACAATTGGAATCCGGCAAGGTTGTAGTCTTAGTCCACTTTTGTTTATACTAGTGATGGACTCAGCAATACGAAGGGCTAAAGGAAAATGCGGAAATTTCACCTGGGATATGCCAACCTGAGATCAGTGAGCCTCTCAATACTTGCATTCGCTGATGCCGTTATTTTTCCGGACAATGACAGGAATCTTCAGTACAATATAATAAATTAAAAGAAGAATTGTGGAAGATTAATATGATTATTAAACCTGTAAAAACGAAAGTAGTGAGGGTTGGAAAGAAGCCTAGGAGAAATATGCGCGTCATCAGAGTCGAAGACAAAATCCTCGAGCAGGCAGAAAACTTCAAATACCTGGACTCGCGCACACCTTAATGAAAATGGATACATCGATTCAGAGGTGACTGAGCGAATCGCTGCTGCGAGAAGGATGTTTGAAGCAGTTAAGAAAGGTTTTCTAAACAGGCGTGAGGTGGGAAAGAAAACAAAGGTGGCTGTTTTCACATCGACATTTCTTCCCATTTTAACGTACTCCTCAGAATCACATGCGGATGGAACCAAACAGAATAGCTAGCGAAGCCTATCGAGCTAAAGTAGAGGGCAAGAGAGGAAGAGGACGGCCTAGAAGGAAATGGGAAGATAAGGTGAAGAGCGACTTCCAGAGAAGAGGTCTTCAATGGGATGATAGAAGGCGTCTTGTGGAAGACCGACAGAACTGGAGAAGGCTCTATAAAGTTCCTCCTCACACTGCTTAATGCGGTTCAAGAAGATGGATTATGATGATGATAATGGAAGGGAAACAATTTTTGACTTTGGAACATTGTTCGGATTAGTTAGGATGTATACATAAGTAGATAAGATTTGCGGGAGCTGGTGCACCGATTGGAGCAGCCAATTAGAAGTCAGGAGTTTAGTGACGTCATCATGGCAGGAAGTTTGAATTTAAATTTAAACTATGCTTTTTACAACCTCATCCCTATCTTAACTACCAAACCACGCTTTTTAGTCACGTGACCACTAAGCCACGCTCTTCTTTACTCCATCGCTGATTTAATCAGGAAGTTTCGGTCATGTTTGGTCACATGACCACCAGCACGCCCCTTTTCGATCCTTTGACCCTCACACCCCTCTCCCCCCCCCGCTTTTAAGAGGTTGAATGTACCGACCGCCATTTTGTTTTAATTGCAATTTAAGAGACTTGTGGCTCTGATTTTAATCATGTGATCAGTCATGTATCCGTCGCCTTCTGGTTTTTCTGTTACTTTCTAGATTCGAGGTTTTTGTTTGAAGTGACCACCATCATTTTGTTTTCTCGCTACTTGAGATACTTGGAGCTATGTGTGAAGCTACGTAACCACCGCCATTTTGTTTTCTATAACTTCCCTAATGATTATCTTTTTTATAATGACGAATCTGGTGCGCCTCTCTCCATTCCAACCATTATAACCTTACAGTAACCTCCCTAGTTTTTTATACCGGGAACAACCAATATCTGTTCCCGGGTCTTACTTACCCTCTCCAAACTGCGCCCCTCACAAAGCTGCGTCCTGCCATACTTGACGGCATCGACACCATGATTCGCAGGAGTGTGAAGGCTATTGTTGGACTCCCTGCGAACACCTCCACGGCGATGTTGTACTCTCCCAGGAGGTATCGAGGATTAGGATTAATCCGCTGCCAATGGGAGGCTCCTCTACAACATTGGTCCATTGCTCAGCGACTGTCCAATGTGCCCGATGCCCTTTTTCAGTCGATCTTTGATTATTCGGCTGAGGTTGATGAATGTGCCGAGAGATTGGGGGTTGATCGGGGTATTCGGAATATGAGAGCTCTACGGCAGTCGCTTCGAGAAAATTCGTTTGAGGAATAGACCAATTGCAGGTGGCAGGGCATTGGAGTTCGCCATTTTAAAGAGACCCCGAAAGCCAACAAATACATGTATGATAAGCAAGTACTTTCTGGGTCTGAATGGTCAAATGCCCTGAAACTGAATATTAATTATGCACCCCTGCGTGGAGTCCCAGGTGTCAGCGGACAGGTAAGAGAAGTTGGGTCCCTCTGTCGCAAATGCGACAGAGAGCCAGAAACACCAGCACATGTGCTTGGAAAATGCCCCAACAACTCCCTCCTTATAACGCGCCGTCACCACAGAGTCAAACATGAACTGATGAGGCTCCTTAAAGAGAGAGATTACGCCTGTTTCGAGGAAGTATATTGTATAGATACGGATGGATCCTCCCGATATGCCGACATTGTAGCATTCCCTAAGACGGGAAAGTCGGCGATGATTTTGGATCCGACCGTGAGATATGAGACCAACGACCTCGATCAGGCAGGAAAAGTGGAAAGGGAGAAAAAACAGACATATGAGAAATGCATCCCTTTCCTTAGTGAAAAGTTCCGCGAGAGTTTCAGGCCGAGAGAGTTCCACGTGAGAGGCCTTTGGTTCGGAGCTCGCGGAACGATACCAGATTCAACAAGGAGCTTCATGGAGGGCCTTGGTGTCGACATAAAGGACGTGGCGAGGTTGGCAGAGAACATAATCCTTGACTCCCTGGGAATTATCCATCACCATGTGCATGGATAGAGAGTTTGTTCATGGGGGGAGGCGTGGGTGTTTTACAGCATTTTTGCATTATTTATTGACCACGTCCACTGCACTTTATGTATTTGTATGCATGTTATGAATTAGGTTAGGAAAAGAGAGGAGAAAATCTAGGGAACGAGAAAAATGTATAGAGTGAGAGAAGGAACAGAAAGGGATGTATCGTGCTAATAAATGAATTAAAGAAATAGTAAAAATAAAATAAATAAATAAAAAATATAGGAAAAAAAATTATGATAAAAAAAAAATATATATATAGATAAAAAAAAAAAAAATGTATATTATGCTCATATATGTTGTTAATACTATATAATTGTATATTAGTTTCGGAAAATTGTCTGTAGTGATTAATAAGTATGCTGTGTTTAAAGCAACCCAATGTAATTGGGACATGGAATTCTAAAAACCATCCTTCTTGTTGTTCTCCTTCACTCGTAAACATAGACTTTGTTCGTTAAATCCTTAAAATATAAACAAGCCAGTCTATACATAGAAGCATTTTTTTCGGAGCTTTTCATGATTCAGTGTTTCAAAAAGCTAGGCAGAACATCTTTCATAACGTGTAAATTAATTTTTTCAATGTTTTATTTATTGTTTTTATTCATTCAATTTGTGCGTTTTATTTAATATTTATTTCATAAGCTTAACAATGAATACATGTCACTATTGCGAAAGACCTTTTAGCAAGGAATGTAACAAAGTACGACATGAAAATTCATGCCAGACTTCCCAACCATGGTTAAGATTAGGAGGATGAGGTGCTCAAAATGGTTGCGACCAGGTGGTTAAGGTTAGGGTGAGATATTGCTTGAAATGGACGGGATCTGGTAGTTCGCGACCATTTTGAATACCTGGTAGCAACCGTTTTGAGCACCTATTACTAGCCAAGATATTGTGACGTTTAAGGGTATTTGAATATTTAAAACTGAATAATTATACCACAATTAATATTTATTGCATAAATAAAATTATAAAATAATTTTAAATTGAAAGATTTAATTTGAAATTAAATTTTAAAAAGCAAAAATGTATTATTATTAGTATTAGTATTATTTAACTGTTGAAGAAATATCAACGGATGTTCATTGTATTTAATTTTTATTTCGAATGAATCGAATGTTAACTGTTCTATTGCCTTGGTATTTACTAAATTTATTTTCTAGATAATTTAATAAATCTTCAGTTTTGTTAAAATTATAATTAAATTTAATGTATCCTGCCCCTTCGGTGAGGTAAGCAAATAACTCATTTAATAACAATTTTTCATTTGTCTCTTCGAATAAATTATCCTCCGAGCATAATTAAGTAATTTGTTATTTAATTTCCTTAAGAACTTTATATATTTTTTTAAATATTTTAATTTCGCATTAAAATAAGGCATGTTAATATAATGTTTTACTTCAATTGGTAAAGATTCCATTATTATTATTTATTTATTTATTCATTGATTTATTTTATTTTTTAAAATTTAAATCTTTCTTTCCATTTTAAATTATTCTACAATTTTATTTGTTCAATATATTATTTCAATAAATATATTATTAAATATAAGGTTATTTGTTTAACTTTTATATGATATAGAAATTTATATAATAAGATTCAAAAATATTAGATACATAAAACATACAAAAAATGAAAGTAAAAATCTAAAGCTTACTGATGAAGTTTGGTTATCTTCTTCTTGGTATCTGGAAGCAGTAGTCCAATTGAAGATATCAGTTTCAAAATACCTCGGCAGAGTGATTTTCTAAAACTGAAAATTTTCTGAAGAAAAATTGGTACCTCTTTGTTGAGTAGGCCAATTTCTAGACCATGTAAAAGTGAATAGCAGTGACAAGCAGATACCTTGAGAAAGTGAGTCTTTAAGTAAAAATTCTTCAGTGTTCGGTTCAGACAGCGTAGATACGAGAATACCTAGTAATTAGTGAAAACTAGATGCTAGCTGGTCCTGCTTTTGGGCGCCAGTTAACGCACTCGTTCAACAGCAGACTTTGAAATTTAATTTTATTGTAAAATGAAAAGTTACATTGACATAAAGTTACTGATACTTCTCAAAAACTAGCCTTGTGAGACCTAAACTAATGTTAAACTTGTCTGACCGCAAAACTTAGAATTGTGGAGCTCAATATATATGAAATGATAAAGGAGGGGTTGGCTATTACCATGGCTATTCCCGTGGGAGATTTATTTTTCAATTAGAAGTACTAATGCAGGAAACATGCGCTAATTAGAAGCTTTTGGGACAAATGGGGGCCCTTCGGAGGAGGATGTTAGAAGGCCTCAGCAGTTGGCGGGGGGGGGGGAATTTATAACTAGAGACCCAATTTTCATCTTATTGTACATTTTATTCGCTTACGTGTAAAAACCCCGGATCCGAATGTCTATTCGATTCAGGATCTGTAGAATAACATATTTAAATTTCATATAGCATGAAATTGCACATTTTGCCGTCTTTTGGCTTAAATTGCACGATTTTGATTTCAGTTGCATTAAATTGCAAATGTTTGTACATTTCGTGCTAGATTAAATAATTTATAAATATAAATATATTTGTATGAGTAAATATTTACTTTTTCATTTTACTACCTTGTCCATTTACAATTTATAATTTAAGAAAGAAAAATATGAGGAACATAAATGATTCTATGACCGGTAAACATTCGAATTTAACGTTACAAAAGGACGAAGTGAACACAAGTGCAAACAGACTATTCGTGGAATAGAACTTGCTTGAGGTTATTCAATAAAAAAAACTGCCCTCATAGTGTTGACTTGAATTCTTACTCTTTCCTAAGTCCTTCAGTCCTTAAAATCCCTTCCGGCTGAAGTTAATGGTAGACCATCTCAATAATAGCCGATTTTGTCATTCATAAACTCACGTTTGTCAAATTTTCGCAAAAAAATAGAATCTCAGTTAGAATCGCGAAATTTGTCACTCAATAAACAAATTGAAGTTATAGAAATTGTAGAAGAAAAACTTAAAAAAATCATTAGTGACATAGGAAAAATCATAATAATAAAATAAATAATAAATAATAAAAGGCTTAGCGAACCCGAAGGTTCGATGCCGACACCACCAATCGCTCATCACACACCTCCCTCCACCGTTCGCCGTCCAAACCTAGTCCCTTCAGATCGGCTTTAATGCAATCTTCCCACCTTCGCTTCGGTCTACCCCTCGGACGTTTACCATTTGGTACAGCAAATATTACCCTTTTAGGAATTCTCTCGTTACTAAGCCCAACAACTTTACACGCCCATTTGATTCGCCGCGATGAAATTACCTCAATTATATTACCCGGATACAGCTCACGCAATTCGGAGTTGTGTAACCGTCTGAACTCTCCGGTTAACTCATCCTTCTTCGGTCCGAATATTCTACGCAATACTTTATTTTCAAAAACCTTAAGTCGTTGCTCATCCCTTAATGTAAGCGGCCGCGTTTCGCAACCATAAAGAACTGTAGGTAAGACAATGGTTTTAGAGATTCAAATTTGTAAGTTGCGGGACAAGAGGCGCGAGCTAAGTAGTTTTGTCACAGAAAAATAACAAGCATTTCCCGCCTTCAGTCTAACCTTAATCTCTTCTTCAATTTCGTTTTTTCTAGTTATCGTGGACCCTAGATACCTGAATTTCTCTACCTGTTCAAACATATTACCTTTTAATTAATTTCCAAATAAACTATAAAAATAAATCTTCACCAATAACCTTGCAACAGTAGATTATAAACGTCCCAATGTTTATAGAATATTAAATTGAATAAAAGACAACCATTTGAAGAATAATAATTTACTTTTGTCTAAAAATGATTTTTTTCAATATGATTCAGATTCTTGGGCTGATCGCAATAATATCATATTTTTGCCTTCTTATTTATTTTTTTTCCAATAAATTGTTCCCAAAATTAAATTCTGTGTCGATTTTAACTATCTTATTTTAAATTAGTATATGCATACTAATTTAATAAGATAGTTATATTAAACAACTAATAAAGATAATACACCTGTAGAAATTTAAAAAATGGAATTTATTAAATTGTTCTAAAAAGATGTTATTTGTTGTTTGTTCCAGAAGGGTTGGTTGTTGATTTCGTAGATTGATACTGCTAATTTTAAATGTTTATGTTACAGGTGATGTTTTAACAGCCAAGTTTTACTATCATAAGAGCAGTAAAACTTCAGCCGATCAACCATAAGTGATTTGACAGTCTGCATATAGGTCAACACTATTTTTTTTATGTAGCTCACTTGTATAATTAAAGTTGCAGTAAACAGCGAATTGGGAAAAGATTATAAAGAAATACCTAAACAGCATGACAAAAATAAAATATAATCACGTAAAGATACATACTTACGTATCAAGAGAGAAACCGGTGCGATGTGGAATGCTCTAAATGTCGATGGCTTCTGGCTACTCCACTCACAGAGCCATCTATCCAGAGCGCATGTCGCCACTCCAACTGGTCAACCACTTATTCTAAATGATTTATACATATATATGTGTGTGTGTGTGTGTGTGTGTATTATACATATTATGTATGTATAACTATATATATATAATACATATATCATACTTATACACATATGTATAAATATATATATATATATATATATATATATATATATATATATATATATATATATATATATATATATATATATATATATATATAAACAAAACGAATAAAAGTTAGTACTTAATTGGAAAATTTCAAACCTAAAAAGCGACGACATAAAATAGCGATTAATAATTATCCCGACAACTTTTCGTAAATTCAGGCATCATCAGGCCAGAAACAAGCTAAATCAATCACATATGTGGAGATATAAATTTCAATAGGCCTCATTAACAGTCAAAATATTTTTTTGAAATACAATAACTAGGGTCACTACATCACTTCGTAACTCCTTATCAAAACTGTAGAAAAATCTTCACGTACATTTTCCTTCAATATGTGTGTGTGTTGTTTATTCAATATCAGGGCTTGTAACTGAAAAAATCTTTTATTTTTAAAAAGTTTCGGTATCACTAGAACAGACTTTTATTGTCGATAGTTTTTTTAGTTCTTTTAGAACTAGAACTTCCCTTTTCTACTTTTCAAGTAATGATTTTACAGAACGATTTTGCGATTGGGTGTCGCGGACTGATGTTGGATTTGCTTTTCTCTTCGATCCTGATGTTGTCTGAATTAGTGAAACGTTTATAGATTTTATTGGAATTTTTCCAATTATAACCTAAGTTTTACAGAACTCTTATTTTTTAATAACTTTTATTTAGTTCGGTCGATTTATCTAAAAATTCGATCTAAGAAATGATTTTTATTCTTTTTTACAGAACTCTTATTTTTTAATAACTTTTATTTAGTTTGGTCGATTTCGCCATGTGAATTCTGACTGCAACAACTTGTAGATAGGAGTTGATATTGATTGGTTCGAAATATATGGATCTATCGATTTTTTTATAGTAAAATTGTCTTTTATTGTAAGATGTGTTTTTTGAAGAGCGAGGCAAAAAGGGTCCGTATCTCGTATCAGTATTTTCATATCATTAAAATGAATTATTAAGCTATTACTATTCCATTGAAGTGCCGACAGGTTCAGGGATTATACATATGTATATGCACGTACACAGATACACACAGACACAAACACATCCACATAACCAAATGCACATACATTCTTCTTCTTCCTATAACTCCTGTGTGCAGTCAAGTGTGAAGTTGCAATCTCAGCCCATCTAGCCCACAGGTTCCTGAGCTAGGCTAGTCTTCTCACCTCCGGGATGGTGCGTCTTCTTGCTACTCCCAGTTTTCCAATGTAATCTGAGTGCACCAGGATCTGCCACGAGGCCGCCTTCTTTCCGGCCTAGCTTCCAAAAACCACCCAGCTTTTCTGGTATCGTTCATTCTACAGAAGTTTCCTGACCATTTTAATTGCCGCTCTTGCATGGTGTCACGCACTGAAATACCCAGATCCTCCCGAATTATTTCATTTTTTATGCAGTCCCTCCTGATCTTACCAAGTATTCCTTGGAGGAATCTCATTTCTGCTGATGTTATTCTACTTTTGTGCTTGTCGAGGGCTGTCCAGCTTTTTGATCCATACAGGAGAACTGAGAAGAACGCGGATTTAAATATCCGTATTTTGTCATCTCTACTTACTTCTTGCTTGCCTATAATAATTTTGGAAATCTGATGGTACACTCCATTGGCCTTCTTCACTCGATTTAGGATTTAGGATTTAGGGAGGTGGAAAGAGGGTGGTAGGGGGGCGATTAAAGGTGTAGTTGATAAAGGAATTAGTGTTTGTTGTTGTTTATTAATATTGTTAGTTGTATAATTTATGTTGTTGTTATTTTCTCTAAAATTAAAAATTGAATCCGTTAGAACACCAATATCTTTTTTTTCAGTTATATTTAATTTCTTTTTCGTAATATCTGCAAAAGTTCTGCTGAAGTGAGTTGGGTTTTGGTCTTTTTATAATTTTTTGGCCTTGTTTAGAGAAATTTTGTTTGTAGTCGGTAATGTTTTGATCTCTTTTTGTATTTTAAACGTAGGTCACTCCTTGGACAGACTTAGTGTCCATTACCGCAATTGGCGCACCTCGGGAGCAAAGTGCATTTAGTGTTGTCAGTGTGTCTAGCATGTATTTATTTGCTTTGCTGTGTACACTGATTTGTAGGATGACCAACAGCAAAAACATCGCAAGGGATTAGGAATGTACTGCTCGACTTTAACCGTATAGAATCCTATATCTATTGTTTCTCGGTGTTAGAAACGTAATTAGTTCT